TTTTATTTTTATTAATATCTATTTGTTTATTTATATTCCTTATCTATTTGAAATAAACAAAGTGTCATAACAAATGCAGCACACATATGCTCAAACAATAGTACACCCGCAAAAAGTCACATACATAATCCTTGGTCTATGGTCCTTATCAAAGAAAGTGCATTGTATAAGATGGTTCTAAACCTACTAGTCTTTACAGGTTCCCGAGGTGCCCCCATTATAGGGACCCGATATCTCTATCGCCATCACTTGACAAACATCTAAGTTTGACGCGGTATTTCAGGCTAGAGTAATCGATTATCATCTTGAGTGTGATTTTTGACAAAACTCGCAGGCAATAAGGCCATTCTTGGGCTGCTCATACGTCAACCACACCCTATGTTTACTTTCTCATGCCCCCGGGTATAGGAGGAACTATTGTGTGCAATGGTTTGTGTGCAGTTGTATATTTCAAACAAATGCATAAATTTAAACAAACATATAGATATTAAAACCAATAAAATAAACAAATAAATATTTAAAAACAAGACAAAAGATAAGTATTTATAAACAAGATACAAGATAAATAAACAAGATAAAAGATAAATATAAGCAAGATAAAAGATAAACAAACCAAGATAAAAGATAAATATTAACAACATAAAGGTAAATATATACAAACAAAATAAAAAGGGTAAATATTTGAATTATTATTTTCATTATGCTAAATTTGTCATTAAATGAGTCTGACCCTCTTTAAGTTTTCCCAGTGGAGTCGCCATCATCGAAACCTGAAAAATTCTGATCTTACCTGTAGATGGTTTGAACTTCCTTTTGAAAATCTCATCAATCAAGCAATGTTCGAAAATTAGATTAATCCTTAATTAATGGTTTTAAAAATGGTTCAAAGGAGTCGTCACCGATATTTTACTCAAAACATCAGAAAAAGAAAAGATTTTTTAAAATTACCAAAATGGTCCTCATAGCAAGAATTGGGTTTGGGGGTCGGTTACGTGTAGCGAAGGTATTAGGCACCGTACAATGCCTTAATTCGGTATCTATGATGAATTTAGCATAATAAAGAATGGTAATTTAAATATTATCCTTTTTTATTAATTATTTACACATTGTTTTATTATAAATATTTACAAAAATAAAGGGTTTAAACCCTCAAGTGTTTGAAAAGATGTTATGTACATGATTATTATCTACTCATGGCAATATCATATAAGCAAGGTAATCTAAATAAAGAAGAGAGATGAAATTGATGCAAATACCTCTAAGGCGAGCTTTATAGAAATCTTGAAATATTGAGTTAAAGCCACATTTTGGCAGCCCTTACACACTACAAATCACCTCATAACTCTCAAGAAATACAAGGATAATAAGATAGAGAAATTCAAACTACAAGGACTTCAATAAACAATTTTTTCGTTCGTTTTCGGTCCCTAAGCAATGTGCATGAGGCTCACATTTACAGATGTCAGACTGACTAGAACGACCCGTTCCGATGATCGGAACGACCCATTTCGATCACCGAAATGGCTTGTTTTGGATGAGATTGTTAAGTGTAAAATTTGAACCTGGAACAGCCTATTCTAGATTTGAATTTTTCTCATAACAAACTAGGTCAAAATGGCTCGTTTCGGATTGGGAACAACAGGTTTTGACCTAGGGTTTCTAGGCTTTTTTAGGAGTCTAGAACGACCCGTTCCAAATTGAGAACAACCCGATCCATGTTTCTAACTCAACCCTGTTGGGTTTTGGGCCTTCTGATGTCATACTAGTATGCTCTGATGTCATTTTTAGGCCTTTAGGAACTCCTTCTTCTTATGTTAAAGGTTTATTTCCTTGTTTATATATCCCAGACGAAATTAGGTGTCTACAACATGCTCTAACACATCGACATAAAAGAACAAATTAAAAAATTGTAGATTTTATTAATTAATAAAATCAATTAACTAAATCCTTCATTTAATAGTTAAAGAAAAATATACTAGTCACATATGCATTCTACGTTGTACAATGTGTCATCCATCATCGAGTATGCTTTTTATACTAGACCATGTACTTAGAGTTGGAACTTAACTCTAGCATATCATATACATTTTATGTCTATACACAGTCCAACCATGATTGTTACTCCTGAACAAACTGAAAGTGTGTAACACTCCAGTCCATATCATCCTTGCCTCGTAAAGTAAGATCATGTAATTTATCATAATGAATTGGAGTGAAAGGAATGCGTTGGATCATGCTAAATTGTCGCATTACCCAATCTGGATAATGATACTCAACAATGTGAAAATCAATTAGAGGTACAATAGCCCTCTAAACTGCAGAGTATTTTAGACAGTAAAGAAGTAATGTAGACAACAATTGAATATAGGTTGTCATACAATCTGCATTAAACAAAAATAATTATTATACCAATATCAAAAAAAAAATTAATTAAAAAACAATGTTTATCAATTAATAAATAAATTATTACATCTTATTGACCTAATTGGTCAAATTTTTATTTATTTATTTATTTATTTATTTTTTTATTTCACTAATTTTTTTTCTTCCTTGGGCTTATGCAAATCATTATTCCACCTATTACATTGATAACAACATTTTTAGTATAACATACTAATTAAATTTTGAAGCTTAATATGTTACGTATACATAAATTATATACTTACTAACCTTGTACATAGGAGAATACTAGTAATAGTTAGAGGTGGTTATAGTGGTGAAAATATTGGAAACTGGTACCATGTCCATACCTGCAACAACGTACATGCACCACCTATTTCCTTGTGATCATAGTTGGTGGACAAGCACAACTCTCAATACATATTTTCTAGCATAGAAGATCCCTAACTCATACGATCATAATGATCCAAGCTTGCAAGCATGGCCAAATATCTCAAAGGTATATATGTACTAGAATGATCAACAAATAGGAAACTGCCAATGATCCGAAGAATAAACACTCTAATAAAGTGTTTCAATTGTTTTTGGCTATGCAGATGCTCAGAAACATAAAAAAAGTGGCAATCATTCCAATTCATCTTCAACCTGCCACCACTCAATATATTAGTTCCTAATAGTTGTTTCACCAAATGAACTCAATGTCCTGTAGCAAAGCTAGTGACAGACTCCCCATCAACCTTCAACCCAAATAAAATGACAATATCCTTCAACATAATAGTACAATTGTTGGAGGTCATGTGAAACATATGGGTTTTCAGTCTCCAACACTCAATCAATGTAGATATTAGGTGGTGGTCAATTGAAAAATAAATGATATGTGTCACCACTAAAAGCCCAACTCAATGTTTAAAAGGTTGAATTTCATCAGGGATTTTACCCCATCACAAAATTCACTCTTTGTGGCTCTCTTAACTCTTAATATCTTATTTTCAGCACCATTTCAAACATACCTAGACACATGATATGGTTGCAATTTCAGTAACGAGTCATCAATAGGTTCAAAATGAATGATTATTCGAGACATACTACAATTGGAAAATAAATTTGACACTCCAAGCAACTATTAACCATTTAGCAACCATGTGTTGTAAAATAAAACTATTTGATTTCAAATTCAAAGAAAAGTCAACAACTTTTTTTTATTTATTTTTAATGGCGAAATCTACCAATGTCTATCGAAAATATGGTTTAGCGGTGGACAAAGACAATTTTAGGCTAATTTGAAGCTGTTCACATGTGGACAACTTGTTCTCCACCGTTGGATACGATTACAAAAAAATTGAACGGTCAAGATGAAGCACTGGTTACTTGTTTATTAATTTAATTTTGTTATTTAAACATTTATTGTTATGTGGTTGAAGTTCCAAATTGTCCCTGATATACAAGGCCCATTCTCTCGCCGGCAAACAAACCCTAATAATGTTTTTTATATATGGAAGTACTCTTTTTGAATATTCCATACTGTAGTTATGTATGTAATGCAAAGCTCCTTCAATCTCTCAAAATTCCAAGTTGAAAATGCAATCTCAAAAAGGGGGTAGACCCACACATTCACTAAAACAAATTTCAGTTCTTTACACAAAAAAAAAAGAGAAATAATTAAAAAGGATAATATGGGAATTTTATCTTTGTAAATAAATTAATAAATTAACCGGGAACTAAAATTTTAACCGGCTATACCCAGGTTTTACAACTGGCCAAGCGGGCTATATGTGGCAATCGCCATTTTTTATTTCATTATTCTAAACTTTTGGGATTGAAGCATCTAAAGCGTAAAGAAAAGTACATTTCTTATTTGCTCCCATAAATTGCATTTAATTAAAATGATTTTCATTTAAAATTTTATTCTTAAAATATAGAACACATCACTTAGAAGTCGAGGCTAATGATAGTTTATAAGCAATCTTCTTCCTTAACCTATCGATTTTCAAAGCGAAAAATATCTCGGATGCGGTGATCCTAATGATGTCAACGGACTTGTTCCTTAGCATCGATTAGAGGTTTGTTTCGACATGTTTAAAGAGTCCCACATTACTTAAGAATTGAGGCTAAATAAAAATACCTTCTCTCCTTAACCCACCAAGATACATTTTCAAGGACAAAATCGTAATGACCCTACAGGTGTCAAAAGTAGACAATACACCTTTATTGCTATGACTCTAATAATGACAGCGGACTTGCCCCTTAACCTCAACCAGAGGCATGTTTCAACATGTCTAAAAAGTTTCACATTACTCAGGAGTCAAGACTAAATAAATACCTTCTATCCTTAACCCACCAAAATGCATTTTAAAAGACAAAACCTGACAATCCTACGAGTGTCAAAAGCGGACAATACTTCAAACATAATAATCTTAATGAGGATAGCAAACTTACTGTTAGAACATATAATAATTATATATTTTTAATTTCTCAAATTTTATTTGAACAATGTTAGTCCTTTAAATATCACAATTATAATAATTAAATAACTAAAATTACTCAATTAAAATTTTAAAAATTAAAATTATATAATTATAATATTAAAGAGATTAAAAACGCCCTTAAATCAAAATATAAATATAACTTTGCAATCATTCAAAAACTTGTAATAAAAAGCTACGCCTCCCATAGGTTGACATATAATTTAATATTAATATGATAATAAATTAGTGAGGTGAACATAGAATAGAGATATATAACATCTGGCCTGCATACACCCACAAATCATTATCATTAACAAAGAAGAAAGAAAATGAGAACCATCATTATTTACTCCAAATCTTCTGCCTCTCTTTCTTTCTCATATTGACGATCCATCTAGAAAGCGTTTGTAAAAGTCCAATGCCTCTCGTGGTTTATATTCTGGAACAGTGTGCCCAGCTCCCTGTACCAAACGTAATCAAATATTATCAAGTACACCAACTCAACCAACAGTATAAAATAATATTAATATAAGGTAATTTAATTAATCACTATTTTACACTATCTAATCACAAACTATATATAATAAAAATGTTAAATTTTATAATAATTAACTTCATTAAGCTTATTTAAAAATTCCACATAACTAGTGTATTTTAAAGTCCTATTTATCATTTAACTGACCCTATAAAAATTCACCTAAATCACGAGTTAATTAAGAAATTTTACATAAATGCATATAATAAATAGCACAGTGAAAAAGAAATTCACCTAAGCAATCGTAGTATCTAAGTATGGTTGTATGGTCAATTTATTGTTTCTCACATGATATATCCTCCATAAGGAAGAATATCAAGTGAGAGGAGACATAGCTCATCTAGACCATAAGAACGAATGATCAAGATTGCCTCTAATTCTCTTATTTTATATGCTATGTATATACAAACCTTTATGGTTAGAAAAGTAAGATTGTTGTCGTAGCCCTGTGTAAACCTGCAAACAATAAAGATAATCAATTAAATATCTAGTCGACATATGAAAAGAAGATTGGTCTTTTTCTTTTATATAATATACACTGTGGAGACATTTAGGGTCATATTTTGATAACAGGTTGCAATCTTGAAGCCAAATACGGACTATTTGGAAAGAAAAAAAGCTCAGGTCACACGTGGATTAGAAATAAATGTAAGAGAGAAAGTTCTTATCTTATAAATTAAGTTAAACCTAAATTCTGAATGCATTCTAAATCTATTAAACAGAGTCATCTACCATTTATCTAGACACTAGTCTGTTTGGATACAAGTTATAAATATTTTTAAAAGTTTCTATACTGAAAATAAAGAACATTTTTCAGTAGATAAACTCTCAAAAACACTTTTAAACTTGTAAGTATATAAACTCTAAATCTAATAGTATTTGACTATCACATTAATTAGAGATAGGTTCAATATAGATTCAAGTGGGGTGACATATTATAACAGAAAATGTGTGCTAGCATGATTAATAATGCAAAATGTAGATACTTGAGAAAGATCAATTTATTTTGACTTACAAGCCATTTCAGAAACAACTTGAGAGTTTCAACTAAGGTCCCTCCATTTAACTGATTAATTTTTTTTTTGAAGATTCATTAAGTGGGTAAAGATAACAGAGAAATTGAACTAGAAGTACCCTGCAACTTGACCATTGGATGACCAAGGCCTCCATTCATCAACAATCTTGTATCCAATTGATCTCGTCCACGCTTGACTCCCCGTGAATGGAACACACATGTCATGATCGCCACTGACAGAAACATTTCAAGTTTTCAAACAAAAAAGGTGAAAAATTATCCAAATTTTCTTTTTCATATTCCTTACAAAAGCTGGAACAATGAATTGCACCTCAATGTCTAACAATGGAATATATTTTGTTATGATAAAATATAAAAAACCTGTTATCTGGAAATTCACCTGAATATAAGTGCTCGATAACCTTTGGAAGTTAAGTTCTTGTGGTAACTGATCATGCTGCCAGCATCATGATCAAAGGAAATTCTGTCTGTGCATAAATCCCAACTACTGACCACACTTTTCTGTTTCATCAGAAAGATCACAGTTTAGTGCTTCCATATCCCCATTTCAGGAATCTTACTAGAAACCTCACCTGTGCAGTATGAATTGCTTTCCTGACTTCTTCATTGTTCAACCATGAGTTTGCAATCTCATCATCCTAAAGATAACATTACACTTTGTTACTTGTTAGACATTCAATGAAAAGGTAATGCCATAAAATCAACTATAAAAATGATAACACTTATATCATGTATATAGAGTCCCCAGCAACATTTTTATCAAAGCCTATGATGCACGGATACGATACGCGTATCGGATACGATACGTATCCGATACGGCGATACGTCAAATTTTAAAAATATAGGATACGATATGTTTAGGATACGTATTAAAAAATAAATAAATTAATATATATAAAATAATAATTGTAAATAAATATTATTAAAAAATTAAATAAAAGTACAAATAAATTATAAAATTAATATGCTACTATTTTTTATATTTTTAAATAAATTATAAAATTAAATAAAGGTACAAATAACACAGTAAAATATAAAAAAAAGAAAAAATGAAATGGCAATAGACTCAAAAATATTTGCTTTGATTTTAATTTTTTTAATATTATATACACCTTTTAATTAATATTTAAATATTTAACTTATTTTAATATTATATTTTAATATTATTTTATCAAAAAGCATGAAGCATGACCGTAAAATATACGCATCAGATAAATTTTCTCCCCCAAAAGCGTAAAGCCTCCCCCCCTCCCCCCACACAGGAACAAAGTCGAGACCAGAGAGTCCCCCCTCCCCCCACACAGGAACAAAGTCGAGACCAGAGCCCCCCCCCCCACACAGAGGAACAAAGTTGAGACCAGAAAAAAAAAAAAGTCGAGACCAGAGCCTTAGGTTTCCATCTCGCTATGCATGACCGGAACTGGGTCTGGTGTGCGGTTGTCTTCTGAGTCGGACTCGGTGTCTAAACGCAGCAAATCCTATGGAATGCAAAGTATCTCCCTCTCAAATTTGTATTTTCCTCCTATTTTATAGTTGATTTCCGAATATTTTCGTTTTGGGAACAAATCTGAAATTTTTTTTTTTTTAAAATCAGTGTGGATACGGATAAGATACGTATCCTTCACGTATCAAAACGTATCCGTATCGGATACGTATCCGATACGGATACGGGATCTATTTTCACGTATCCGTGCTTCAGAGATCAAAGCTGATATGATAAAATAAGAAAGACAGAAAAGGAAGTATTGTCCCTTCAATAGGGAAATATTTGTCAGTTTATCACAAAAACTTGTTCTTCTAAACAAATTTATAACAAGTGGAAATGATCAAAGAAAATTGTTGTCAAATACTAACTTAGATTTGATGTTAGTAGGCAATGAACTAGAACTTAAAATCCCTCAACAATAATGACTTTTAAAGCACCGTTTTTATAAGATAAAGCCTAGTTTTCTGAGGACACTATTTTGTGCCACTATTGTTATTTGTTAGATGTCCTTCCAGTATTATTTATTTCTAATCTGAATTGATGGACAAGTGTTGAGAATCTGAATCAGCATCTATTATTTGAGTTTATTCTTTTTTCAAAAACAATATTGCAAAATAACTTATTTATTCTATATATAGTAACATTTTAACAAATGTAAGAAAGAAAATGTTATTAAAAAATTAAAATGTAGTAGTGTGTATTGAGGATGAATTTTTATGGTACTTTCTGCAAATAGAATAATGCGGTTGATTGACTATTGGGAAGTTATTTTTAAAACTAATTACGTAAATGAAACTATTTTGAAACTATTTACACCTTTGAGATAGTTTACTGTAAAGTCGCTATGCGACATAGCGACTCTAGTGATACACGTTAATTTTTTTAAAGAAGACATGAGAGACATACAATAAAAGTTGCTAAAGTCAATAGCCGCTCAGGTAAAGTCGTTATCAGTTGTAGTGACACACAACGACTTATTTTTATTTTTTATGAAGTCAATACAAGTTATAACGCTTAAAATAATTAATTTTGTAAAATATTATAGATCATATTTTTTTTATAATTAAAAGAGTCTTTATGGATCATATCGACACCATTTAATTATTTTTTTAAAAAAATTAGTTTTATTTAATTTTTTAACATATAATAATTAAAAAAAATTAAGTTTTTTTAATATATTTTTTAATACTAACATAGTTTGTTAAAAAATAAACAAAAAATAAATTCATTTTTTTAATTTAATTTTTTAATATAAAATATATAAGTAATATAGATATATATATATATATATATAT